GTGTTACTAGACGTCGCATTCTTAAGAAAAGAACAAACACAGAAAAAAACAGAGCTAAAAAAAGAAGGAGGAAATTGCAAAAACAATATTTATAAAACAAACCATTTGCCGCACGACAAATTTTTGCTAAAAATGGTGAAAACGTTGATCGCTCCAAAACCGAAAAAACCAGGCATGGCTAGACAGGACCCCGCAAACTGTATAGATAGGTTACATACAAAAATTACGGGTTGACATAGGGTTTGGCCCACGTTGTGATTGGCTTACTGGAGACAATATTTCCAAATTTGGTAATTTTTCACCAATATTACATTTTCTAATAGTAAAAATTTTAAGTCTTTTACTATAAGACTTGACCCAGCTGTGGCAGTAACCTATCTATATAGTTTGCGGGGGTCCTGGCTAGACGTAAAAAGAGGCAATGGACAAAGAACCTGCACGAAAATCGCACGACTTGCGGGCTTTGGAAGAGGATTGTGACACGGCAAATGGTTGTTTATTAATTAGTATGGTTCGAGTCATCTATCTATAAAACGTCACAGTCCGAAATTTAAAATTTTAAAAGATTTTTCTAATTTAAGTAATGAGATTTCTTTTACATATGTAAACTCGATAAGTCGGTCATGTCGGGGCGGACTCCTGCGACCGACTTATCGAGAGAACCGACTTATCGAATTTCACGTGATTTTTAATTTATTAAAATAAAAAATGTTAACATTGAAAATATATAATAATAAACATCGAAAATATATAATAATAAACATAATAATAATAAAACTATATCAAAAAAACTAAGGATTATTTCTATTATAAGGATTTTCTTCTAAAGTAGGTTGCTTTAGTGAAGCATTTTGTTTTCTTCTAATTTGTTGTTGTAAATCTCTCAATCCTGAGACTACTGAACTGTTAACTTTTATATCGGAATTTTGTTGCAAATAATTAAATAGATTTTGGATGTTATTAATGGCAATTGTATTTGATATTCGAATACTCATCATATCTTCTGCTTCTTTCTCTTCTTCCTCTTCTGGAGCTTCTTGTACTGCAGATGATATAAAAATGAGATAAAAAAATATAGATGTATTGTTCGCAATTAGACAAGAATGTTCTCTGAATTATTTGAATGATACAATTGATGATACAAC